ATAAAAACTACAGACTATTTATTACTTTTAAAGAGAAGAAATAACATTTTAAATCGACTTAGTTTTAAATAAATGAACATTCAGAGGGAAAAATAGAGAGAATATACGAAGACTATTTTTTTATAAATGCGCTTGTTACAACGAGAAAGAGCAAATGATTGTTCCGACTCTAATCAGATTTTATTATTATTATCATTATTATTACCATTACTATTACTAATATTACGTCTTAAGGTGTAGCAACCGTCTGCTCATTTGTTATTTTGCTTGTTTTATGACCAAAGTTCTTTTCTATTTTGGAACATTATGTTAGAAATAAGTATCCATAAAACAGAGATGAAAAAAGATTCCTGTCAGCAAGTTTTATCGGGGGTAGAATGTTTTGATATAGATTTTTTTTTAATGTATGTTATGATCTATTCCTAGCTATGTTAATCGAAATGTTAACGGAACTGGGACTATACTTATAATAATTCTTGTAACTTAATATTGACCTAAGGAAAAGAGATAAAGATTTATTCCTGCTACTACAGACGATGGATGATACAATGAAGAAAAAAATGAAAAGATAATAATGGAGTTCTTTGATGTTTATCAAAATCTAACTTTGTGAATGGGATTTTTATGACTATTCATTTAATGGTACATTTATGTTTTAAAAATTCAACTGCCCGATCCATTCTTACTGATTGCATTTGAATTTTCAAGGAACAATGTATTTGCCAGTAACATAATTATCCAGAATAATATATAATTCAAAATCTTTCGGCAATTACATATTTCTAATTGTCCTGTTCATATAGATAGTGATAACTTTGAGTAATGTGGAGTATACTACTTACAACAATAAAAGAATAAACGAATAACACAGATGATCGTTTTATATCTTCACTGGAAAATAAAATCGAATATAAACCATCTGTTAACCATATCAAGAGTTATTACAAGAAAAACTACATTATAGTTAACGTTTTGTTAGTAAGATTCATCATTACGGGTTGATGTTCTTAAACTAATCCCCAGCCTCTCAACTTCAATCGGAATTGGAATTGACAGTGACCTTAGTAGGGCTTCAGGAAGGGTTAAGAATAATCATATAGATTCTAATTACAAATCACTTGAGTGTTTTATTTAAGTTTAAATATACTATTTGAACCCTTTACGTCATTTTCTTGGTAAACCATTCTCCTGTTTGAGTCTTCCCTGACCGGTGTTCAGTTGAACGTGCGTCAAAATATGACATTTGATATATAGTTGTTGTGGATGCGGAGGAATAGACCAATAATTATCATGTTAAGTCCACTGGTGTCCTTGGACTTTAAATGAACATTTCCTATTGGTCGATATCTGTTCACTTGTTGAATATTGTACAAAATGTTGTTTTCTATTTTTATGGTACGATGTGGTATGTTTGGTTAGTATATAAATAGAGTATGTCTGAAATATAATGATTCATAACTCAGAGGCTGTGACTTGTGTTCTGGACTCAACTAACTGGGCTAGACAGGGAAGTGGGACCAATCGAGACTCTAGGCCGTCCGTATGTGTTTACGTGTCATTGAATCGATCGATAAATGCACTGCTCTCTAATTTTTCCAGTCAAGGACACAACAATTAGCACAGGGTAGAAATCGACCCAACTTCAAGTCATAACAATAGTCAAAGTTGATTTCCTTTGTAATGTACGATTAGTCTACTTTACAATTATATGAATAAATGGATTATTAATAAGAATGAATGACATAGTCGACATGCTCAGTATATATTTTAATCGAGAAAATCTTCTCTCAATAAAATAGAGTTCACTTGTACATATACATAGAAAGTTTTTACGCTCTAGAAGTAGAGATGTATATAGGAAACGGAGTTTTAGAAGAAAAACTGTATTTGAAATATTCTTAAGATCAATTTCTTAAAATCTTTATTTCATTTACTAGTATATATATATATATATATATATATATATATATATATATATATATATATATATATATATATATATATCAAGTAGGACGTATTGTACAAAGAGGTTTTGTTCTACTTTATTAAGGATTAAGGTGTACAGATTTCCTTTTTTGTCTTATCAAAAAACTTACTTAATAGATATTCAGTATGGATTATATTTACAGAGTATGATCTGGTGATGAAGAACATATTGAAATTTATTAATACATCTAATTCTATATTATCTTATATTGATTTCTCATATTAATCTTATTTTCCAACTCTTTGTCACCTTCCATGATTCTTCTGCTACTTCTCTCCCTTTATATATATAGTTTTCATTTTAAGGAAATGAACACCTTATTTATATATAATGACAAGGCATTTATTTATCATGTAGAAAGGTCATGTAATTAATTTCCCTTTTTGAAGAAAAGAAAGAAAAGAAAATAAACATAACACGGAGTTATATTTTATTATAATCACTGTTTACCTGTTATACAAGGTCACAAGAAACAAAACAACATATGGAAAAAACTAATCAGCAACAAAAACAAACTTCTGTAGGATTATGCCACTTATTTATTTGTTCTCATTTTTATTGTTTATTTTCTTTTCACTATAATAAATTAATACAGCAACATGTAGAAAAGAAAAAGAAAGAAAAATGTCATTTATACATTTAGTTATATAATATATAGTTCTTAATTAGTTTATTTGATCTTATGAGCTATGAAACTAGAAAATTAATTATACTACTTGACAGGGTCAATAATTTGATAACTTGAATAGTATAGGAAAGATGGATAATAGCAGGCAGTGGAATCCAGGATGAGAGTATCGTCTTATTTTGGACTCATCAGCTAGATGTACCTACACCTCTGAGTTGAGGTTCACTCTGGGACTCGAACCCAATACCATACGCTCAAACGCCATAGCGTTATACACTTAACTACTGAGTCCTTATAGCTACTTGCTTGTGCAAAGGGTGAATTTAAATTTACTTTTTATTGCTTTGCTTGAATCTCTCCATTGATGTTTATGACTGCAACTGATCAGTCTGTTATTGACACAAGTTCGTCCAGTGCGTATTGCCTCGATATTGCTTAAATTCACAAGCTTTCTAAGTAAAGATGGATAGTGGCTTGCAGTGGAATCTAAGACGCGCGTTTTGTTCTACTTGGGAGTCAATGGGAAGATACAAGCAAAACAGTACCAAGTGAATTTAAATAGTATAATTTTTTAAATTATTATTGTTTATTAATGATACTTGTTTTTATCGTTTAATATTTCGTCACATTTGATTTCACACATTGAAATCATGAGTCAATTGAAGCTAGACCACCATTGAAATCCTGGAAGCACTGGACGGCCGTTTCGTCCTGGTATGGGACTCCTCAGCAGTGCGCATCCACGACCCCGCACCACGCGGGGCTCGAACCCAGGACCTACTGGCTTCGCGCGCGAGCACTTAACCATTAGACCACTGAGCCGGCATCCAACGGTGTTAATGTCTAACTTCAACCAATCCACGAAGTTGCGCCACCGTACACCATTGTCTTCAGTGAGTTTCTATCTCACAACAGACCTGGTTGAACTCCACTGGTAACGGCTTCTCACTAGAACTTCGGGAGTTTTTCTTGAAGTCAGTCACTAGTGAGCAATTGATTATTATTATCAGAATGGGTTTTGTGGAGATTTTAGAAATTTCACAGATTGAAATCATGAGTCAATTGAATTGTTTTTGTTTTTTAATTTATCCATTTCTTGTTGTTGTAAAGGGATAAGTCAACAAAGATGTAATTCAGTTTTTATTTCATTGTCATTATAGTCTATTATCATTTAAATAACTGAGAGTAATACATAGTTATTTCATTATCGATCTATTAACTTTACAGGAACCGAATGTAAAAGTTATGCACAAAGTGAGTTATCTTTAAATAAGTGAGTAAGGATAATATTTGTTTAGATTTCAAACTTTATTAGACTAAGGATTTCAAAGGACAATCATCTATGTGATCACCTTCATAGGGTAATTATTTTAATTACTTTTGCAGTCTAGAAAACAATTTTACAGTAGGCATGGAAATATTGACCTAACGCTAAGTGATCACTTAGCTATAAACCAAGTTTATATTTTCAAGTTACATTCTACCGATCGTCGAACTACGGGACTTAACATGATAAAAGACTTATTTTGATGTTGAATCGCCAACGTAATCGGTCACATTATAACATGAATGATAATATTTAATCAACTCATCCTGGATTCCACTGCTACCCACTACCCATCTTTATTTATAGATCTTATCGTAGGTATCAGAAAACAGTTTCTACGTGTGAATACAAGATTTTGTTTTTGATGGATTTTTGTTCTCTGTACTGAATGGTTTGGTGGTGAGGCTTTCATCGTTCTTCTGAACGACATCATCAGCACAAACTTCAGATAGAAGTGAAGCGTTCAAATTTCTCCATATATGGTTCACAGCTTATCCTGTAAGCTTCGATGTTAATTGGTTCTTATTGACCATAAATTTGTCATTGTTTACTTCTTTGTTTTAGTTGTATCCAAGAACCAATCAACATCAAGGTGCACAGGATAAGCTGTGAACCATATATGGAGAAATTCGAACGCTTCATTTCTATCTGAAGTTTGTGCTGATGATGTCATTCAAAAGAACGATGAAAGCTCCACAACCAAATCATCTAGCTCAAAGAACAGAACTCCATCAAAATCATCCATCTGAGTTACAAATCTTCCCCATCAACACAAGATTTTATTTTAAACTAATTAAATCTCAAATATTTTTCAATAAAAAACGTGATCAAGATAGTTGATATGAGAAGAAAAAAAAAGTAGAAACAACTTATGACTTTTTTTCTCTAACCAATAAGCAACAAAATACATTTCTATAAATGTACATCCAATACTATTTAAAATCTTATATGTAAATATACATAGTTATACACTTGCTCAATTGTGATTGGTTTATTATTAAAGGAACATCTATTTATCATGGATTATAGAACTTTGTTTAAATCAGGTGAAGAAAGGTGAAACATTCATAGTAAATACCATTATTATTATTATTATTATTATTATTATTATTATTATTATTATTATTATTATTACTATTTACATGGTCTTCTTTACATATCTTAATATTACCTATTTTATTATTCTTTTCTTTTAGTAGCTATGACGAATTACAAATAAATAATCAATAAAATATAATGAAAATTAAACATTTCAATAAACAATTTAGTTTAAAATCTATTAATACAACAGGAAATATTGATAGAATTGAATTTACCTCAATGTATTCTGGACCACCATTTGCTATGGCTAGTAGACAAATTGAAAATGGTTTATTAGATTGTAAAGAATTATTAGATTCAAAAATGTTTTATAATATAACCAATTCAATAAATAATAATTGTGGTACTACTCCTACTACTACTAATAATAATAGTAATACTAGTAACAATAATAAAGGTTATCTATCATCTGGAAGTAAATATGAATGTTACCATCCACTTATATCATCTAATGAAGAACAAGTTTATAATGATAATAATAATTTAAAATCTTTATCAAAACGTAAATTATTAACAAAACAATATAAAACAATCGATGTTTTAATGAAACCTTCTACAAATGATGAATTAACATCCATTAAAACATCGAATAAATCTGTAGCATTTATTGAATGTGGAAATTATAAATTAGATACTATAGATAATGTATATCATGAACCTGAATATATACAAATGAAAACTAAAATGAAATCAATCTTTGACAATTTATTACATAATAGATTGTATTCATGTTGTAAATCAAATATGAAGTCTAATTTATGTGCACATTTATCTGATTATATACATGCAAATAATAGACGTAAACAAATGATCATAGTGATTATTGTATTATCGATTTTATTATTGATTATTATTATTATTACTATGATAATATTGTATAAATTATATGATGAATCATCAATCTCTTCATATACATTGCCGATATCAACATCATCAACGACATCATCATTATCACCATTACGATTATCATCTGAGTTATTCAATCTAGAACCATTACAGTCTACATTGTCTACATCATTAAAACGAATACCAAATTTTAGCAAACAACTTAATACATCTAAAGTTTCATCTATTAATCCCATTGAAAATAATAATAATAATATTAGCAGTCATGATAACAGTAGTAATAATAGTAGTATAGATCAAAAATGTAAAATACAAAAATTTTGTTTAAATATTAGTTGTTTACAAATTGCCTCAATTTTAGCTGAACGTTTAGGACGTTATAATCGACCGAAAATTATCATAAATCTATTAAATAATCAATGTTCAATGGAAGATATTGATGAAATTATTAAAATATTTTATATTGGTGATGAATTTCACTTAGCAACTCATGAAAATAGTTTATATAAATTTAAACAAAAACGTTTATCCACATTATGGTCATATGTTATGAATGAATTACAAGGATATATTATAGAAGATAAAAAACGTCCATTGTTTCTATGGATAGAAAAATTAGCTTATCTATTTCAACATTTAATTGATCAGCATATATATAAGAAGAATATAACAAATATAACTAGGACAAATACTACAACTATGACGGTTAATAATACTGATGATCATAGAAGTACCAATGTAGATCATAGTGACCATAAAACGTTCAGGCATAATAAGGATAAAGATATTGATCATGATAATTTATTATTTAAATCATCCAATAATAATAATAATAATGATCAAAAGAAACAATCAATAATTCATGGAAATTCCAGCTTAATTTATCATTCCATTCAATTGAATAAAACTAGATTAATTCAACCTATTTTAACTAATAATGAAGTATATTCATCATTTATAAGTTCAACAATGAAAATGATTCAACCAAATGAATTAGAAACAACAATTAATATGTCATATAAAACAGAATTAGAACAATTAAATGATTTATTACAATTAGGGAATATTGCATTTCATGGATTAGGTAAGATACTATCATTTATAGAAACATATTCTTTATATTTAGAATTCCTTTGCTTGCTTTCATTACTAAAATGGTATATGTGTGATTCTAATGAGTTGTTTAATAAGAGTAAGTGCAAAAGATATGGATAATTATGATTAAGTGTTAAGGTTAAGTGTTCGCGTGCGAGACTGAAGGCTCTGGATTGGAATCTTGCGAGCAGGATTGTGGATGCGTACTGTTAAGGACGAAACAGCCATCCAGGGACTTCCACGTTTTTAATGGTGGTCTAACATCAATCGATTCATGATCTTAATCAAAAACCTAATTATCTCCATAACTCCATATCAATAATTATGAATAAAATGTTTCAGTTGACTTAAATTGATCAAAATCTTTCTAATAATTATTAATTAACAAATACAAGTTTTGTTCTGTTCTATCATTGTTTACGAGTGTAACATTTAGGAATGAATTAAGGTGAACATTGACTTAATTGATTTTTATAAAATGCCTAGATAAGTATATATGTGTCACTAACTTACTTACTTACTTAGGAATGTTGCTCCTAATGGAGCATAAGCCGTCGACTAACATTCTCCAACCCACTCTGTCCTGGACCTTCCTTCCTAGTTCTATGCAATTGTTGATCATTCTTCTCATGTTTATTTGTCTGTCTGTCTCCATTTCTTGGTGTAATGTCTCCCTCTTCTCGTTCAGCCTTGAGGATTCTATGTGAGGGATTGCCTTGTGACACAGTAAAATGCTTTCCTCAATGTGTGTCCTATCCACTTCCATCACTTCTTACTGATTTCTTCACCCGTTGGGATCTGGTTTATTCTCTCACACAGTAGGTTGTTGCTCATAGTGTCTGACCAATGGATCAGAAGTAATTTGAGTAAACAACTGTTAACAAACATTTGTATCTTCTGAATCATGGCTTTCGTAGTTCTTCACGTTTCCAACCCATACAGTAGAACTATTTCGACATTTGTATTGCAAATTCTGACTTTGGTGTTGGTTGAGAGTTGTTTTGAGTTCCAGATGTTCTTTAATTGTAAATATGCTGCTCTTGCTCAGCAATCATTAAAACGTTAACCAAAAATTATATCGGTTCTTTTTAGACCAGTTCCATCTTCTTATTGTTCTATCGAGACTCTAGATATGCTGAGAAATAATTCGAATAATTTTGGAAAGTTTACACCATAATTTAATAGATGCATTTCTTGAAGTTCATTAAGCAAGTTTGTTTTCATACAGTAACAGCTTAGTTTTCCATTGAAGCCTATAACTCTTCACCTAAAAGCATTTGTAACTTATATTAAACAGAATACTTGAAATATTTTATTGTTAAATTTTAGCTACGATTTATTAACTGTCTAATGTTTATTATTTATTAAAAGATTTGCAGTTAGATTATGACCAATTCATATGTATTTTCAGAAAGGGGTTTTGTGGTGGTTTATTGGTTGAATTCATGAGTCGATCTAAACTAAACCATCATGAAAAACCTGAAAGCACGGGAGGGTCGTTTCGTCCTAGTATCGGACTCCTCAGTAGTGCACATCCACAATTTCACTCACGCGATTCGAACCTGGGACCTATGTGCTTTGTGTTTGTTTGTTTATGTACGTCAATTACAGAATTCATCTTAGTCACCAATTAAATATTTTCATGGTCCTCTCCACATTGATAATTTAAAATTTCGGAATACATTTTTTTATTAGCGATTTTATAATGATTACTGTAAGATGTTAATGTATATGATAAATTATATTGGGCATATGTCAGTTTACTTCAAAAAACAAAGAAATGACTTTATTTTTGTAGATTATAACACAAGTGTTAACATTACAAGCAACTGTTCAGCTATTCCAATAACTAATTTGACTACAATAAAGATGATAGAAATCACAGACAATCCACGACTCGTTGATAGCTTGATTGAAAGCTCCAATCAAGCTTATAGTTACGGTCTTCTTCATCATATCTATCTACATAGAACCACTTTGCTCCAATGACAGAACTTTAAATATAAGATATTGAAGTAGCTGTCAACAAGTCTCACGATACATTATGACTAAAGAAAACCGACTATTACAAATTCATAATTAGATTCATAATAGTGTTTTTAAACAACAGAACTAACTGTTCCTGAACCCATCAATTATTTGTGTGTATTGTACATCACAAACTGATATTAGCTGACAATGAAAGTGAACTGGAAATCAATCTCATCCAAGTTTGAAAATTCACTAATTGTGAATACCTCAGTTACACTGAATGGATCAAATCAAGGGTTTACGTTTTTCCCAGTAGTCAAAATACCACTGAATGAATGACTCGAAACCTATGTTCACTGTATTCGACAATTTTTTTGTGAGGAATATCTTGTTTCAGATGGTAAATAAATCATATAAATAGACAGCACTATTTTATTATCCATTTGTCTTTTAAAATATGTTATTTACCCTTAGCATTAATAGGTAGTTAGTTACCTTACGCAATAAATTTAATCGAATTATCAAATTAAATCAATCCTGTTTTGTAAGAAGACTAAATATGTTATGCTAATGGCCATGATAATGAAGTTACATGGATATTATTGTAATATAGATGAAATCGTAATTGAATATGTAGTGTAGTAAACAGGATGTTCTGTAATTTTATATTCATGTTCACTACAGTAGAACCATTAGTCAAATTGAATATAGTTTAATAGAGAAAAGAAGTTACTCAATACTGGTCTCTTTTATTGTTTATAAATTGTGATAAGGGCGTAACAAGTTGAATTTTTGAAACAGTTGTGTATCATATCATTGACTATTAAATGAAATAAAACGTCTCACCTATAAAGAGCCAAATCATTAAGCTTAAAGCATATAACTAACATTCTATTATGACTTTAGTTCTTTATTCTCTTTTAGGCGACTGATGAAAACAATCAAGTAAGACAAAATGTAAATTTAAAGGAAGAAAATAATGCGGTATCTTATTCATTGTATAAATGATAAGCACAAATAGTAATCTAGCCATACTGTATTTCATTATGAGAAGGCAAAACAGATTATTGCTTTAAAAATTAACAAAATAATACTTATAGTAATTCTAAGAGATAGACTTATTGTACCATATAAAACTGAATAGAATAAATATGTTAATGGGATGGTTGTTTAAGAAAGAATCTGTTGAGTAAACTATATGTAATGAGAAAACAAAACAAAATCGATTTATCCTGATATTGTCAAATCTAAATAAATATAATGGAATAGAAGATTTCTTTTTCTCTTTAACATCTATATATAGGAAACTAATATTAATGGTAAAAATCTACATTGTTGAATAGTTCATTACTCCACCGTACACGATTGACTTCAGTGAGCTGATATCTCACACAGACCTGATTGAACTCCATTGGTAACGGCTTCTCACTAGAACTCCGGGAAATGCCTCTTGAAGTCAGTCACTAGTGAGCAGATGATTATTATCAGAAAGGGTTGAAATTAAACATTAACACGATTGGATGCTGGTTCAATGGTCTAATGGTTAAGCACTCACGCGCAAGACTGATAGGTCCTGAGTTCGAATCTGGAGGGATCGTGGATGCACACTGCTGAGGAGTCCCATACTAGGACGGAACGGCCTTCCAGTGCTTCCAGGTTTTCCATGGTGGTCTAGCTTCAATTGACTCATGATTTCAACTAGTGAAATTTGTTACATCTCCACAAAACCCCTTCTGAGAATAGTTTATTTGTCAAATGATACAATATGAATACGTACCACGTGAACTACTGAAGTGTCTAGTACTATATTAAACCCACAGGAGTTATTCTAATTTCTGAACAAACTAATTTATTCATTCTTTTCAGGTTATATTTTAACTGTGTCAGTTATTTGCTTATCAACACTGACTTTTTATATGAGCGTATATATGTTAATTATTCACCCTATTTATTACGTGTCTGTAACTGATTTTTGTCTGACTGTAAATATTGAGTCACGCTTTATCAAAACGAGTTGGCTTACTTACCTTCGTATCGCTTTGGTTTTCATATTTCCAACGATGATCTCCGCTTCACTTTGCCTCCTCCACATCGTTTCTCTGTCTGTGCTGATCGATTAGTGTACGAAATATAAGTATACAGAATTCATTCTCGTATTCGACTTATTTGATCCCGTTATTTAAATCGATAATTATATACGACGATAGATGGGGTGTATATTTCGATAAGATTGTCATACATTCATCTAAACTGGATTTATTATCAACGCGTTATAAAACCACATGTAAAGAATTTTAGATAAAGCTAAACCAGAGTTTTATTTCCACTTCAATAGTTCAACGACTTTCAAGAGATCAGAACCTCTGTAACTGATAAAATCAGAGAAGTAGTTTACACGTTCAACTGCTACTTACCAACCAGTATTCTACGTTGTGTTATTCATAGACTTTTTATATTTATAGGAAAGTGATTTGATTCTTCTGAGCAAACAGTCGAAACCATCATTTGATACTCATAAGTTACATTAAGTTAGTTTAATAATAATTTTGTATCACCTGGTTTCTTTTATTACTTATTATCATTTATTTATTTAAGAACGTCAACATTCGTATAAGGAGGCACCGAATACATATGCACCACATAAATCGTTCAATTTATGTGGAGACTGGGACACTGACCAAAAGCCCAGACCGAGGCTAGTGGTTTCCTTAGTGGACCGCACCCCAAGCCTTCGACCTAAAGGTCTAATCCACAAGGTAGTGGAGCGACGTCGGAAGATGCAGTTCCATGGTAGCCGCTGACCAACAACAGGTTCATAAGCAATTCGTTTCCTTAGAATCATGGAACCCATGTACACCATTGGTTTGGAATTAGGGTTTTCGGACTCCCCTAAGTAGATCCTCCTGATTAATCAACCCGTTTAAAGCGCCGGATATTTGCTTTTCGTCCTCTAAATTTAGTAAACAACACTTCTGTCTCGAAAAGGTGGCGGTTGTACGCACGTGGCCATGTGAGAGC